CCTTAGGTTTAAAATAAAACTTTTGAAATGTAAGTTATTTAGAACCTCAATATTGCAAAGTTTGAGAAGTAAACATACTGAGAAATGTAATTTAGATTTCCTTGACACGCTCTCTCATGATAAGAGAGCATTCAGTGTATCAGTGCATAAATGCTATGCAAGAGGACTGCCAAATTGCAACACAGAATGGGAGAAATTTGTCATTTTGAAATGCTAAGGGAATTCTTACCAGCAGTTTTCTCATCTTGTAAAGCTATTATTTTTCTGAACTATAATATGATTTATAAATCTCAGCCGAGTTTTATACTTTTGATGGGAACATCTCAAAATGAAATGCATTTCTCAGAATATAAACTTTCTCAGGAGTTGACCAGATGAGGAATAAAAAGAAACATCTTCTGCAATCAAGCGTACCAAATCTTGGTCTCTGCCGGCATATCCGCAAGTGAATGTTGGTCTTCCCCAGAGTTCTGGGTTCAACCTGACTCTCTTCTCACTCTGCACACTTGCCCTGGGTGACATCAGCCGCCTCAGAAACTTCCGCTCCAGTGACTCACATGCCCCTGCTCCCCACCCCCCACATCCCTCCTGAGTTACAGGTCCCTGTGTCCAAGGTCACTAGATCAGCCACCATCATGCCCTACAGACCACTTAACCTTAAATCCTCTCCTTATCCCCAAACTCTGTTCCTTCTCCTTGAATCCGAGTGCTACAACACTGCTCACATCAATAGAAGTAAGTAAGATACAGTTCCTGCTCTCGAGAAGCTTATATACTAGTACAGAGATAGAAAAGTAAATAGGCTGTTAGAGCGCAGGTTATTAAGTGCTGCAGTGGAAGAAATCCAAGAGGCTGTGGCTCATAGGAAGAGCACTTAACCAAGCAGCCAGTCAAGAAACCAAGCTTAGTGGGTACGAGTTCTGGGTAACTGAAGTAAGTGTGTGTGTGTGTGTGTGTGCGTGTGTGTGTGTGTGTTTTATGCTCATATGCGTGTTGAGGAGTCACAGAAAAGGATAGAAGGGGTCCCATGGACAGAGGCCCAGGGGCAGAGATTACAAAGGCAAATATAGTGTATGGCTTGGACAGAGTGCTCAGGAGGGATTAGATAAAGATAAAGTCAGATCAGAACAAGCCTTGTATCCCACGTTTGATCTGCACAGAGTTTGAAATCCAAAGGGTATAATCCAGAGGTTTGGCCAAGCATGGGCATGGAGATGTATGCTCAGTCTTCGTGGAGAGCTCAGGTGATCATGACCCAGGCTCCAGGGAAACCCACCAAAGTCTCAGCTTTTCACGGTATGTTCCATGCGATGCTAAAATGGAGCCAAGGAAAGTCAATTTGCAGTTACATTTCATAATAACACTTACCTCACAAGCCAATTATACTTTTTATATGTGATCATCTTTAATCCCTTACAACCATGCTGGACGTAGGACAGGTCATGAGCTTTGGAGATAGACAGGGGAAACCTCAAAACCTTCAGCATGTTTGTTACCCCCCTGCATCTCGGTCATCATCACCGGTAAAGGGGAAATTAGCTCCAAACTTTCATCTTAATCCTTCTAAAACTAAGAGCATTTTAACAAGTTTGCTTGTTAAAGTTGACCTAAACTGACAGGAAACTAAGGTTTTTATTTACTGTCTTATTATGAATATTCTTACATTTTGCTACAGAATATTGATGGGTTTGATTATGGGGATGTTAATAGTATGTTATCATCTTAACTTCCTAATATCTGTAAAATTCTGAATTCAAAAATGCATCTAACCTAACGGTTTTGGATGAGGAAGGAATTTGAGGAGTTGTAATATATGTAAAACATAAGATATATAAGGTAATGTACATAAATTTAGGGCCTCCCTAGCACAGTGACTGGCACATAGGAAGGGCTCAGAAATTAGAACTATTATCAAAAAGAGAGAGTAAGCCATCACAGACTTCATAAAACAAGGCATGAAGGAAATGAAAACATCTTATAGGAAACACATGTTTTCTATCTCTGGCCACCCACATTTTTACAATTATACTTTTGAAAATTTGGGGTGATTTAATTTTTCTAAATGTGATCATAGGCTTTGCCATTATTCTCTTATTCACAGCAGGAGGAAGAAAATTCAGAGTATCTGTTACAGATGCTAACAAAGGCAGATTTGGGGAGATTCTGGGAGAGGAAACAGCACCAGCAAGGGCCCAGTAGAGTGGAAGAGGTGTTCAGATAAGAGGAAGTTTATTCCCCTTCTCAAACTCTGGAACCCAAGGAGCATGGCACAAAATGGGGACAAATGAAGTTTGGGAGAAATTTTATGAAAAGCCTTGAATACAGTGGTAATTTTGTATTTTATCCTATAGATCAGCGGTTTTCAAGCCACGTTAGCAAGAGAATTTTGTTTTGTTTTGTTTTGTTTTGTTTTAAGTAGATTCCATGCTGAATCCAATGCAAGGTTTGAGCTCAAGATCCTGAGATCAAGACCTGTGCTGAGATCAAGAGTCTGACACCCAACTGACTGAGCCAGCCAGGCATCCCAAGTGAATTTTGTTGAAGTAGAATTTAATTTGCCTGGGAACTCTACACTGCAACCACCCACCAACTCATTTTTACTCTATGGCCCAAGTGCTCTTTTTATTTATTTTATTTTATTTTTTATTTTTATTTTTATTTTTTTAGAGAGGGGAAGAGGTGGGGAAGGGCAAGGGAGAGGGAGAAAGAGAATCTTAAGCAGGCTCCATGCCCAGCATGGAGTTCAATCTTATAACCCTGAGATCATGACCTGAGCCAAAATCAAGAGTCAGATACTTAACAGACTAAGCCACCTGGGCACCCCCAAGTGCTCTTTTTATTTTTTTTTTTTAAGATTGTATTTACTTATTTGAGAGAGAACACAAGCAGGGGAAGGGTCATAGGGAGAAGCAGACTCCCCACTGAGCAGGGAGCCCATTGTGGGGCTCGATTCCAGAACCCTGGGATCAGGACTTGAGCTGAAGACAGATGCTTAACTGACTGAGCCACCTAGGCATCCCTCAAGTGCTCTTTTTAAAAGAGCAAATCTGATTATCTCATTTCTTAGGATGCACTTGTCAAAGAGATCTTACCAAGCTTGGTGTAAAATGCCATCTCCCTGCAGACTCGGGGTGATGTAGCCCTGTGCACCTCCCCAGCTCATCTTACACCATCTCCCTGGCTTAACCACTGGTCAGTTCTGCAGTGAGCCATGACCCTCCCACATCAAGGATCTTTAAAGGATGTCCTCTCCTTTGTTTCTCTCTCCCACTTGCCCTAGTGAGCTCCTACTCTTTCCAATCTAAGCCTTCTTTTCTGAGGGGAGTCTTTCCTGGCTTGGTCAGGACCCCCTGTGTTATACTCTCCCACATCCTGGGGACTTCTCTGTTCAGCACTTAATCACGGTCATGTTAAATGATTAGCTGTGGATTTAGCTGTCTGGTGCTTTCTCCCCACTATGCTGTCAACTTTGAGAATGGGAAGTGGCCCCATCTGACTTGCCCCTGGCCAGTGTCTGGCTACTAAGCAGGGGGAAGACAAATGGGGGAGGAGGCCACTTTGGTAGGAAAGAAGATGAAGCGTTTAATTGAAGCAAGAATGCCAAACCTGGGCTACTTCCCACAAGTCCTTCTCCTCACCATCCACAGGGTTCTCTGAGGCTCTTCTTGGTGGGGAACACTCTGAAGTGGTAGATAATGGGATGCTCTGACTACCAAAAGGCTTTGTAATTTGGCTTTGGAATGCGTGTTCTCAAGAGAGTTCTCTTGGCCTGAGGAAACTTTCTGCTTGATGGTCAACAGAATGGATCAATGATCAAAGTAGTTTTGCAGAAACAAAAAGCATATTTCATTCATTTATTTCAACATCTCATCTCTCTTGGGAAAGGAAAGACTATAAAAGACATCTGTAGGCTGGTCTGAATTTTATTCTTTTGTGCAAGACTGGGTTTAGAGTAGATGTTTCTTTGGAAAGTAATCTTGGCCTAGGCCCACACCATCGAGAAAACTGCCTCCATATTCTGTAGAGGCATGCACACATTGACCCCTGCCTGGGTCTGCAGTCATGGGACACAGGGCAGATCATGTGACCCTAACACTCCTTTGGTGTGCTTAGCTGTATGGAACCAAGGGATCCCTTTCTCTGTGAAATAGGGCCAATCAAAGTAAAAATTACCTTTTGATTGAGTAGCGTTGCTGAAGAAAATCAATAGAAAGGGCTTGAAATCCACTGGTACCATTTCATTGCTAAGTGTTGTAGACTTCACATTACAGGAACGCTGGGTTTCAGGGTTCAATGTCTGTGAGGCCAGCTGAAAATACACAGCAGAGTGGGTTAAAGGAGACGGAGTCTGTCTGTGCAGCCCTAGATTAAAGGGAAAATGTGTGCTGGCCAGAAGTAATTTTTCAACCTCCAAATATTCTTTCCAGATTCTAAGATCCTGTGTTTGACATGTTTAAGAGAGAGATATAACAGCTGAAATTGTCTTTGTTCAGAATGTAGGAGACAGTTTCGTCTAGACTTTCAGGAAAGATAGAGAATGACATTTTCAGAGCAAATCAAAATACATTTTCAAATTCTTTTTTTCCCCTTCAGGAAGAGGACTTGACATGCTTTTCTGATTTGAATTTGGTGGGTCTATAAATGACTTCAGTCGTTTGATACAAAACTATAATAAAATGAGCCATTGAGAAAAGTTACTGAAAATGCCATTAGTTCACTTTCTTACCTTAACAATAATATTAGCACCGCAGACAGCACAACAACTAATATTTATTGAGTGGTTTCTAAGTATTGACGTACACGTTTTTTTATTTAGTTCTCAGAGCAATCCCATGAGGTATGCATTATTATGAATGCCAGTTTTCCAATGAACAAACTGAGGCACAGAGAGTGAGGGGTGACTCCCCCGAAGCCACACAGCCTTAGGCAGCCAGGCCAGGATCCGACGTCCCTCGAACCTTCTCTCCTCACCACTGCACTTGTGTCTTCTTTCCCAACAGGGCCAGCATCGTACAGAAACGCATCATTTATTTCCAAGATGAGGGCTCTCTGACCAAGAAACTTTGTGAACAAGGTAAGGACTGCAGGTGGAGGAGGAGCCAGAGAAATGGAAGGGGGCTCATTCAGTCCAGCCACCCAGTGGCAGGACTTCGGTGATTGGGCTTTCTGAGCTTCTCCAGGTTCTGCTCCCTCACGTAGCACTGATTTTTAATCTGGCTGTGTGTAGTGGATAATTGGATCCGCATTAAGCTCTAATTACTCAGCTTTGATTCCCTGGGTAGGAGATAATGTACCTTATATTGGTGTCATCTTCTTATTTTTGTGAAACAGTGATTATTCTAAAGAGGTTCCTTGGAATAATTCACAGAACTTAATTAAGAAATGCACAATTGTGTACCTTTAAGATGTCTTTAATCGTTCTCTGGAATAATCACCAGCAGAACTTGTGAGGCACCTGGGCAACATGGGGGGATTTTCTCCAAGAAAGACAAGCGGGAGGTGGGATTGCCGAGGGAGCATTGACTTTATGAGTTTGCCACATTCAAGGACGTGGCCCTTAGGTTTGCAGGCTTATTGATGCCCTCTCCTTGGGTTGAAGGCACTCTAACAAAGCTCATGGAGATCAAGTAGACTGGCAGATCAGAGAAGAGGCTGGGATTCAGATCCAGCCTGGGTTTGAATCCTCACTCTGCCCTTCCCAGCCCTGTGACTTAATATATATTTAAAATAGTACAGCGCCTCCTTGGCACATAGTAAATGCTATATATATATATGTGTGTGTGTGTGTGTGTGTTAGCTATTGTTATCTGTATGCAAAAGCTTGTTTATTAATCCATCATAAAAAATTAGGACTTTTAACATCTGAATGTGTTTACAAGTCATTAAAGAACTAAATAAAAATAGAAAATGTTCTACAATTATATATCTTAACTGTCTAATGTCTATTCATTTTTGCAGAATTTTTATTTGCATTTAGAGCAGTTAGCATTTTGAGAGAAATAATCTCCAATTCTAGTAAATCATAAGCTGCTGAGAGAAAGAAAGTTTCATATGGGTCTTCTGGGAAAATAATAATAATAGCTAATATTTTTCAAGTGCTTTGCTATATGCCAGGCACTATTCTAAGCACTTCACGTGCCTTGCTCATGCGCTCTGCATAACAGCCCTATATGGTAAAGACTGTCAGATCATCCCTATTTTATAGGTGAAATGTCTGAGACATGGAAAGTTTTTAAAATCTCACTTAGCATCATACAGCTCGTGGTCGAGAACAGGGTTTGGACCTAGGAGCCAGTGTTCTTAGCCACTGCCTTTCTGTTGAAGGGACTACATTTCAGTGCGTTGTACCAAAGCATAGCTCCCTCTGGACGAGTGAGAGCAGAAACTAGGTTCTATGTGGAAGATGGCTTGGAAAGCATGAAAAGAGCAGAGGGAGAGAATTGGACACCTGCATTAGAGTTATACCCATCGTAGGGACCAGAGAGCTAGAACCTGGGGGCCAGGTGCCTAGTCAGCTTCCAGGTGGACATGACCACACACGGCTTTGGGGGCCTTCCTTTTTATATTTAATTACTCAGCCTTTTTGCTAGCACAGAACATCTTGACTATTGAGGCTCTTTGTTCCTAAAGTACGGTCCCCTTCCTGCCCTCTCTCCATGAGATGACATGCAGGTCCATGAGGTAGAGTCAGAGTGTTCTGGATCACACATTTATAAGCCACCTCTAGATCTACACCCATAGATGGCTAATCACAGCCACTGTGGTCTGGTTTTGTTAGCTTGACATTCAGAGGACAGTCTTATTTCCCAGATTTGAGGGTTCTTAGGAAACACTTTGCTGTCACCCCCGCATACGGACAGCAATCATTAACTAAAGTGCACTTGCCAGAGCCTCAGCCCTGATGTTGTGTGAAGCTAGACAAATATGCTAAATTCTGCAGATTCGGTGTCAAATGGCATGCAAGTCTGTATTGGTTATCACTTCTGAAGCGGAGATCCTATCAAAATGACTAAACATGCCTATGTATAAGAAGATTGTTTTCCAACAGCAACTTTGTGGGCAAAAAAAGGTCCTGCAGGCCCTGGGCTGAAGGATCATTACGTGCAGTTTTAGACCATCCCCAGAGACAGCAGACCCATGAGGAAATCCCACAATTAGAAAAGCAGATCACCTTAAGAAAGTCTTTAATTTGTAAGCAGAGAGCAAAAGGATTTCTCTTAAATGTGTATGCCTACTTAATTATCTCTAGCTCTTCCATTAAGGTCTTTACGTTCTCAGCTTCCTTGGTGAGTCAGATCAAATCTGTCAAGGAAGGGGAGAAAGAAACTAGTATCGAGTATTTTTTCTCAGTTGAAGCTGTGCATCCATAGGGGAAAAATTAACAACTGCAAAGATAAAAGGCAATGGCAATCATTATTTTTTTTAAAGAAACATTAAATATTAAGTTCCTTACAATTAGGAACAGAGAGACATAAAATATTCAAAAAGGTGACCTATATGAAACACATACATGCCCATGTTTACTTGAATACCACGTCACAAACGATGAAGTGAGAGAGATAGAGAAGGAACGCAGAGAAGGAAGGAAAATGTGGGAAAGAAGGAATAAGGAGCAAAGGAAGACTAAGGGGAGAGCTGAAAAGGAAGAAGCTAATGGATGGAGAGTAGAAATGAGAGAGGGGGCAGCTAGGGGATCAGCACGGCTGGAAGTCCCCCATATTGGGCAGGCCCTGCTGCGGTTAGCAGAAGAGGGGTGAGTTACCTCTGGTCATCATCACCCTTTAAAAACCTGGTTCCTTTTCAATAGGCTTTTCCTCAAAGGGAACAGTAGGTCTGTTTTTAGTTTCAAACTTAGAGCCTTATTTTTTTAAATGGAAGCTAATTTTCCTTTGGAATTCCAAAAGGTTTATTGTAAGTGTATTCCCCTGAACTCCTGAATATATCTTTAAGTTTACTACCCATATCTGAAAGCCCTTTTGAGAAGGTAAAGCTACCAATTTGCCTTATTTTGGTTTTTTGAGAGATTGCTCTGTCATCAAATGGCACCTGGGAGCTACAATTGAAACCTCTCCATGTATCTCTCAGCTTGGAATCCCTTTTTCAAAACTAATTTAGTTCTTTTATAACATAGTTGATCATAATAATAATAATGGAAATGTAAAAGGAAAAAAATCTTTAAGAGTTCCTAATTTACGCTACCTTTCCTGAAATATATTCAATAGGGCTTGTCCTTTAACTATCAAAGTGGCTTACACAGGAATGGTACCTGGGTTTCATGTGCATTAAGCAACGGAGAGCCTGCTCCTAAGCACAGACAATGCGCGGGCCTCTTCCAAGTGTAGAAAAAAAAAATAGCCAAACAATGATTTCTATTTTGGGTGGTTTCAGACCTCTTCTTTGGTGCTGTTTAGAAACCCTGGAGCTATATAGGGAGGCCATATTTTAGATGCACCAGCCTTCACTTGAAAAAGCATAGAGAAATACACACACAAAAATTACTCTCATTGGTGTTTATGCAGACCTATCCAGCAGAAGGTCCTTCCTGGAGTGATACAGCACAAAGATTAAGAACCTGGACTCTGGACTCAAAAAGGCCTGAGTTCCAGTTCTGCCTGCAAACCTACTAACCCTGTGACCTTGCACTGGTTACCTAATTGCCTCAGTTTACTGATCTGCAAAATGGTATTAACTAAAGTACTTACCTCCTACGGTTGCTAGGATTAAATGAGACTGTGCATGGAAAGAGATCAGCACCTACAAGGACTCTATACAATGTTGTTATTATTACCATCTTTCATACTTTTGCTCCATCCTAGAGTGCAGAATTCACTTCTTCTATCCATCACTGATTTTGCATGTTCAGACCAAAGGTACCCAGTGAATTCCACAAGGAAGACTTTTAAATGCTCTTCCTGACACTCAAAAAGATTTTTATACTGTCACTGCTCTTTATATAATATTTAAGAATAAATGTCCAACTTGCCAAAAAAAAAAAAAAAGAACCTTTATGTTAATACCACTGGAGAAACCAAAGAAAAAGTAGCTGAAGCAAGTTGCATCTGTAAGCCTCTGTTTGGTCTTGCAGGAAGCAGAACAGACTGAAAGCAACAATGCAGTTAGGGATGTGAGCTTGACAATCGGAAATACTGAATTTATTCATGTAATCTCTCTTTCCTCACTTATCAGCTATTCACAGATAAAAATGGGGACAGAGAAGGAATCTTGTTAAGTTTTTCCTGGCTGCTGCTGTGCTCAGAAGTAAACCTGAACTTACCAACATCGTCCTAAACCCTCACCCCTCCCAAGTCTCTGAAAGCTTGATAAGAAGGGATGTGACTATATATGCATTTTTTACAATAGTTTTCAGCAGTCCTTCATGTCTGTCTACTTGTTCTCACTGCTCCTCTGCAAAGCTGTTCCTTCTGGTCCTGGCAATTCAGCCCCAGAGAACATTTCTTAGAGAAAACACACACATGCATATTCCTCTTAAAATTTAGTGGGAAAGTCCTATTGTGGGAAAAAAGGATAACAGGAAATTTTATCCCTGGTTTCCTAAATATTCAGCCTTATTGGTCTCACAGGTCTCCTCACATTGTTAGAGCAAAAAGTTCTGAGTCTTTTTTATTTGCAGAATATAATTACCATACTTAGAGTTATATAAAAATCCTTTATAGCCCGAGTACTGACCTGGTTCTGGGTGTTGTTAGTCGATGAAAACTGCACGTCATCTTCTTTTCCCAAGCCTTAAGGACAGGATAAGACCAAGAGGGTGCTGCCTTATAAGTGACCCACATTTGTTTCCTAACTTAGTGATTTCCCTGACTGTTTCAGATTCCATGTTTGACGGGGTAACTGACAAACCAATCTTAGACTGCTGTGCCTGTGGAACTGCCAAGTACAGACTCACATTTTATGGGAATTGGTCCGAGAAGACGCACCCAAAGGATTACCCTCGTGAGTAGAGTAGACACCTCGTGGATTGGGGGAAGGCGTGCAGTGAAGTTGTCTGGTTGTGGGGTAAACCAGCCGAAGTATGTCGGGTCTATTGGCTTTTACCAGCTGACTCATGAAATACACATTCCCAGAAAGTGAATTCATCAAGATTAGCAGATATAATACTGGTATGCTTTGAGCTTTCATTGCATAGCATTGTTCTAATCTGTGATTTAAAAAAATATTTCGAAGGTCATGCTGCTTATCTTCGGGTCAAGCATTTGGTAACCTCAGTCCCCCTAAAGAGGCTCTATCCATGAATTACACAATAGATCTATCTGTGCTGGAAATAGCTGGCAAGAAGGACCTGCTCTTGACTCCACAGATTAAGGTCAACAAACATTCAACATCCTCAATCATAATGCTGGTAATCTATCTGCACACACTTTCCCTACGGATTCCAGATACCACCTTACAATCCTTCATGACACCATGCTCCAGACAGCCAATACCAATCCATAGGAGTTATTAAGAGGCCCCAAACTTGCTATTTTGGAGAAGATCCTTAATCAGGACCCTACCAACTCCCTTTTAGCATATGATCATCTCAACAAATACCTAGCATGTGCCAGGCACCATGCTAAGCTCTAGCGATATAATAGTGAACAAAAAAAGACACAACCCATATTCTCATACAACTCAGAGATTTGTGGGGAGACAGGCACTTACTGAATAATCACACACAAAAATGTGAAAATTCTAATGATGAGTAGTGGACCTACCATGTGCCAAGCATTTGTACATATGTTATGTCATTTAATCCTCAGAATAACCTGTGTTTGTGGATGAGCTCACTGAATATCAGAGAGATGTCATGATTTGCCCCTAGTCAGATGTAAGTTAATAGTGGATCCAAGATTTGAAAAGGGATTTGTCAGGCTCCTTGGACTGCCTTTAAGACCCAGTGACGCTCATTCTCTCTAACTGTGGGTGGCAGGCTGTTGGTGTGGGGCACTGAGCACGATTTTTCTGTTCGTTGTCTGTTTTATTCTTATACATTTCACTTTTGAGTTGCCACAGCTGGGAAAGACAAGTGGAACTGGGAGAAAGAGATTAAAAAGAGGGATTTGGGTCAACCCCTAAAAAGGGGGAGCAAAGGGTACGCAGTTGGGACTTAAGAAGACCTGGTCCAGACCAGAGCCTCCATAGTCCCCAGGCAGCCCACCCAGCAGGGACTTGGCAGATCAAGATTATTTAATTTTACCCACATGTAATCAAGACTTGGGATCTTAGAAGCTTCTTCCTAGTTCATTCTTCTCACTCTGGGATTCAGCTTGATCTGCTTCAGCTGGTGTGGGAGACCTGTGTGAACAAAGTTGGACTCTCTTCCTGGGGAGGAAGAAACCACTTGGAACAAGGATGATGGAAAAAAATTTCCTCCAGTGCCTCCAGTCCACTAACCCAGAGGAAATAAAATGTTAGGGGCCCATTACTCATCTTTCGTAATCCTAAGGAGCTTCTTGTGCTGTTCTGTTGTGACACTGTTATTCCCCAGAATTTGGGGGAAAAAAAAAAAAGTACAGACCATTGTTTCTGGGTCTTTGGGCCAAATCAAGTACAAATCTATTCAGAATTTCTGTGGAGTTGTTGGGAGTTTCTTAATAAAACAGACATGTGCTCTAGCTCCCCCAGGATTGTTCCTTTGTCAGATGTCAGTGTATCTTATTTTGGGGTTGGAAAAATCTGGTCACTATGTACAGAGGAGCGTTTATCACATCGGACTGTAATTATTTCTTAAGGAGTCTTTCTTCTCTATCAGGCAGAGCAGTCCTCTAGAACAAAAGCCATGACACACTCATCTTTCATTCTTAGTGCCTTGGAAGTGCTTGGTGCCTTCCCAAGTATTAGGTACTGATTGTTGAATTCAGAGTAGTATTCGCTGAGACCTGGGAAGCAGATTTCTAGCTCGCATCTAGTCACCATGGCCAATACTGATGAGGAATTGTAGGCCAGACCTTCCTTAGAGGGAGAGGGGTCAGAGGATTGGAGCCAATGGGAAGGACACAGAGAGGGTCTAAGAAGGACTTTGAAAATTCGATGCTGGCAGAAGTGATTTCTACTAATCTTAAGTAATAGATGACTTTCCTTTCGCTGCTCCAGGGATGATCTTGTCTTGATAACCAACCATTGCCATGAAGCCCAATTAAGTCATGATGCTTCCCAACCATAGTGCAAACTGATAAATGTCAGGTCCCTCTCGCCTTTATTATTGCTCATCCCAAATACCACTTTGTCCACAAGGAGCTCAGAGCAGCAATTCTCAAGCTTTTTAATTTCAAGATGCTTAAAAATTATTGAGAACTGAAACATCCTTTTGCTTATATGAGTTGTGTCTATCAAAATTCAACATATCAAAAATTAAAACAGAAGTTTTAAAATATTACTTATTAATTAATTTAAAAAGTAACATATAATGAATTAGCAATAATAAACCCATTACATGTTAACATATTTTATGAAAATAATTATATTGTCTAAAACAAAAGAAATTTAGTGAAAGAGCATCATTGTTTTACATTTTTGCAAATCTCTTTAATATCTGACTTAATTAGAAGACACCTAGATTTTCCTATTTGCCTCTGCATTCAACCTGTTGTGGTATGTTTTTTTGGTTGAAGTATATAAAGAAATTCTATCTCACACAGATATGTAACTGGAAAAAGGAAGAATATTTTAGTAACTTTTTCATTAATTACAGATAATCTTCTTTGATACTATACCAAAACTCTACAAAGGGTAGTTTCTTTTTTTTTTTAAGATTTTATTTATTTATTTGAGAGAGAGAGAGAGCAGAGAGCACAAACAGACAGAGGGAGAGGGAGAAGCAGGCTCCCCACTGGGCAGGGAACTGATGCGGGGCTCCATCCCAGGACCCTGGGATCATGACCTGAGCCGAAGGCAGCCGCTTAACTGACCGAGCCACCAAGGCATCCCCAAAGGGTGGTTCCTTAAAGGATAATTACAGTGTAGAACATGAAACCGTAGCATTAAACGTGTACTCTGTTACATTAAAATGCATTGCTTTACTTTGCACTTTGAATGAATCTTTTACAAATAAATGATTTTGTGACATCATACATTGGTCATTTGGAACATACTGGTTTACCAAGTTATGCAGATGGTCCAGATGTTGAGACATCAAAAATCACATTCATTGGGGCGCCTGGGTGGCTCAGTTGGTTAAGCGACTGCCTTCAGCTCAGGTCATGATCCTGGAGTCCCGGGATCGAGTCCCGCATCGGGCTCCCTGCTCGGCAGAGTCTGCTTCTCCCTCTGACCCTCCTCCCTCTCATGCTCTGTCTCTCATTTTCTCTCTCGCAAATAAATGAATAAAATCTTAAAAAAAAAAAAATCACATTCATTAATATTGCTTCCATTCTCATTAGAAACATGTTTAAGCATTAGAAAGCTACCAGATTCATAGTGACAGATTCAAGTTTTCCAAAATTCTAAGTTTTGCTTGAAAGTTTGAATTTCGTCATTGGCAACGCATCCTGTCTTGTTGTTTTCCTTGAAATGACAAGCTCACTTCATTTTTGAGAAAACGTCTACCACATTCTCCAGTCGGAATAGCCATAATTTGTCTGTCATTGGTTCTTTCAAGTAAAAATGATGTTTATGAAAATAAAAGTGTCCAGTCCAGCTTGTAAGAGCATTTACTCAAGACAATCATCATATCTGAGTATATACAGAAGTGTTTCATGCATGTTCCCCAGTTAGTCACACAGAATGGGAGAAAAATGTGTACTCAGACGTGCAGAGACTAATACAAAACATTAATAATTTTTATTGTTTCATCAAAAACATTCTAAAGTGAAGCTGACTCTTTGCATTGTTTCCTGCGGCTCCTGGCAGTGACTGCTGACAACCTTCGAGGCCACTGCTTGGATGGGCGCTAAGTGACAGCGGGTTCACGCTTTAGCACCATCAGGGTGAAGGCCAACATGTGGCAAATGTCTCAGTATTATTGTGAAAATAGTTTTCACCTCACAGACCCCCTGCAAGGGCCTCAGGGTCTCCAGAGGTCTGTAGACCGCACTTGGAGAACTTCTGCCGTAGGATAGGATAGCACCCTAAGGTGTCTGTCCTTCAGTTCTCTTTGGGTGACTTGCCCTGGAGAATTTGTATTGGGCTCTACAAGAGGATTGGGCAACGCCCTTGTGCCTTCAGTCCTTGCTTGTGGGGGCCACATCGACAGGTGGCTCTTCTCAACCACTGTACAAGACGGTTGGTCCCAAATGCTGTTTCTGGGGTTCCCTTTCTTAGAGAACAGAGGACTCTGCATCCACGACAGCCCCCTCCCTGGGAGAGGCTAGGTGTGGTGAAATCAGGAAGACGAGGTGATGGCCCAGGCTGACATCCCCTCGCCATTGTAATGCCATAAACCTCTGCTGCCCATCTGGAAGTAGTGAAATCCTTTTAAAACACCCCCAACTGGGTAGTTTCGAAATCCATTTTAAGGCTGGGTCTTGCAAGTTTTACCTCCTAATTTTATAAGTGAAAAAAACCTGAAGCACAAAGTTAAGGGCTCAGATCATATAGCCAGAGAGTTTCAGAAACAAAATCAAAGCTCAGATCTCTTGATTCCCTTTTGCCTTCTTCTGGGTGCTGTCACAAGGCTGTCTTCTCTCCTCTGCAGTGAAATTCAATGTCTCATACACAAAGCATCTTTTAAGCATCTGCTGTACCCATGTGGACTCAGCCGATACTAAATTCTGAACAGCTTTGCCCCACTGTACAAAGACCTCCCCTCTAGAGATCCTAACTTAGAAGTCAGAAAGAGAAAGTCTGGATTCACTGAGCCTGAACAGAGTTCCAGAACCCTGAAGTGTTAGGAGAAGTGCAAGCAAGCCCCCCAGTGTCTGTCCTCTGCAGTCTTCAGCGTCCAGAAGCCATCCAGGAGCTTGTGTCCTTTACAGGACATGGTGGCCAGGCATGTCTCCCAGGGTTTGGAGACAGGC